TCAAAAAAAAAAAAAAAAAAAAAAAGGAGATTTACTTTAGTGATTATATTGACAAAATGAGTTGTCTTAATAGCAAGTCAGTTGTTCCATTTAGCATTTTATCAAAAAAAAAAAAAAAAAAAAAAAAAAAAAAAAAAAAGAAACGTTTTATAATCCGCTCTATTAAATTCTAAATAATATTATAAACCACACGCCGCCAAACACTATTAATAATATAAATAGTGCTTTGACTATAATTTGATTTAGTTAAAATATTAAAAGTTACGTTAAAAATCTATTACCGAATATGATCTATTTATAAAATAAAAATAAAATACAAATTATTGTTTTTACCCCTCAACATCTCTCCCACAAAAGTGAGATGATTTGTCCTTTCAGAGACACATTTAAGCTGAATTTTTTAAGGCACATGAAGAGAATAAAGAAAGGAGACCTCTTCTACTGAGGCAGAGGCCAACGTGTTTGTTTGATTTTTGGGTCAACGGACCAAAATCACTTCCAAAATTAAAAAGCAACGTATTGGTTAAACTGGGTTGACCGACTCTTGTGGTCATCCTTTTTTCTTTTTTAAATATTTTTTTATTTAGCCTTTTTCTTCAATGTTCCATTCAATTCTATCTAGCACTTGGCTCTTTTCTATTTCAATATTTTTTATCATTCTAGAAAATATCTGATTTGATGATTTTCTTTTTCACTTTTATCTTTTTGTGTTTCGGTAAGAACATTTTTTAAATTTCTATTTTAAGTAAATTTATTTTATTTTATTGACAGTTTATTGAAAAATTATTTATTTAAATAATAGTAAAAACATTAATATTTTTAAACTGAATTGATAATATATTTATTTAGACGTATAACAAAATTTTATTTGAATGAAACAACTTAAAAAAAAACCGAGTTGATACGTTTAATATAATTATTTATTCAAATTCAATATTTAAAATTTAACCAAAACAAATAATTCTTAGCAAACTCTCTTGTGTTTATTCATTTTATTAAAAATTTAGTTTATTTATTAAAATATCATAAATTTGTTTGACGAAATAAAAAATATTAAGCACTGCCAGATGTAACTCAAATTCCAATCTCCTTTAGATTTTTCATAATACTGCTTTAAAAAAAATAAAGGATAATAAATTATCTTATACTTTTTAAATCATGCTTTATTACTTTTGAAAATGAAGAAAAAAAAATTTTTTTAATGAAAAAAGAAGTTTTTATGAAATAAAAAAATAGTTTATTTACAGTAACATATTCAGAAAAATTTTAGTAAATTTATACTGATATCAAAATTTAGAATATATCATGAATATGTATAGATCTCATCTCACTAATATTAGGTTATAATACACCTAATAAAATAGAATAAGCAGTAAAAAAAAAAAAAAGAGAAGGTAAATAGAAATATGCATTTTATTCTTAGGCTTGGTACGAAAAATAGAATAAAAATCTTGTTTTATTCATTTTTTTTTTTGAATTATGAGAGAAGAAATGTAATGAAAAATCACCAAAAAAAAAAAAAAAAAAAAAAAGAGAAGAATGTAATGAAAAAATCACCAAAAAAAAAAAAAAAAAAAAATCAAAAGACTAAAATTGAGAAGGACATATTGAATATTTTGTTAAAAAAGTTGTATTTGGTTTTTTCACGTAAAAGAAAATTGTCTACTCCTCTTTCTATTTCTAACCTTTCTTCAAGGAATTTTTATTTTTTTTTTATCCATTTCTTTTTTTATTTCTATTCTTTTTTTCTATGTAAAAAAAAAAAAAAAAAATCAAAAGACTAAAATGAGAAGGACATATTGAATATTTTGTTAAAAAAAGTTGTATTTGGTTTTTTCACTAAAAGAAAATGTCTACTCCCTCTTTCTATTCTAACCTTTCTTCAAGGAATTTTTATTTTTTTTATCCATTTCTTTTTTATTTCTATTCTTTTTTTTCTATGTTATTGAATAATATAATCGAGAATTGGAATTTTATTCTCCATTCTATTCATTAGATTTATATTATAAATAAAAAGTCTTTACAATGGAATTCATTTACCTAGTTTTGAATAGAAACAAATCATTTAAATTATCTTCATTCCTATTTATCTCATAATATTCAAATCCATCATTAAGATAAAAGACGAAGAAATGAATTTAAAAGTTCAATATTAAAATATCTAATTTATAATGTGTAAATAATATAAAACATAACATATAGATTATAGTTCAATTGGCAACGCAGGCCGAACGTATAGTAAGATGCCAATTTAATTTGTCTCATATTTATCTCGAGGCAAATGTTTGTACTGATTGGTTATCTAAATTTGCTTTTAAAATATTAAAATAATTAATAAAAATAGAGAGAGAGAGAGAGAAAAAAAGACTTTTGCATGAATGATTAAGTTTGACAAATAGAAATGGACATTGCCTTAATGTGATCGTGGTAAAGGGAATATGGACAAAGAGGAAGAGATAGCAAAATCTTTGCTTGTATGTTGACAACAGCATCTCATTAAAGATCCTACCCAAGGGAGGTCATGCATGCACACAATATTTTTACATCCCTTTTGTCTTCATAAATTTGCAGAAAACTCCCTCTTACTTTTCTTTGGCAATATAACCACTGATATCGAAAAGTTCACTAGACAAGTGGACTCTGACCACATTTGATACAAATACTGCAGGGTTTATATAAGGGGCAACTCTTCAAATGTAGTAATTTCCATACCGAAAGTTCGAATTCGAGACATTTGATTAAGGGAGAATGAGTCTTAACCACTCTATCTCAACTAACATTGGTAGCTCCCTCTTTACTTTAACCTTATTCTATTATGCACTCTTCTATTTTGAATTTTAAATGGTTTATTTCCAAAGAGAAAAATAATCTCAATTATTATCTAAAATACTTCCTTTTTTTTTATTGCATAAGGTGGCCAAGCAGGCAAAGTGACATTCAATGTGAGAAACTAACCCTTTAAAATCCTAATTTGTATAGAAATAGAAAGTGCCAAATCCCTCTAAATTCATATTAATCACTCATAACCCTAGGAAACAACATCTAACCATTTCTTCTTCTCTTGCTTCAAGTAATTGCCTCCCTCCCTCTTTTCTGTTATTATTAAAAAAATAAAAAAAAAATCTTTATTTTTTCATTGACCGCAGGTGTCCTTGATTTATTAGACTAAAATTAAATCTCACTCGCATATGGTTGCTCCTAAAAAACAAGCAGCTCCTAACGAATATTGCTCCATCTATCAAGATCGAAATTTCAACTTCACTTAAGGAATAAAAATATAGAATCAATCATTTCAATGTTTGTCAGTAAAAAAAATTATTAACAATATTAAGGACTGATAATTGCCTAACAAGGTTTCCAAATATGGGCGGATCAAACTAAAATAATTTATTTTACACTAAAAATTGAATTTTTTTATTTTTTATTCTATATTAGGTGCCAGAGCCCTTTTCGACCCTGTATGCGTCCCTTCCTGTTCCAAAATGCACTTCCAACTATTTTGTCCTCCTATTTTATACTAATTTGCGCTCATTCTTTCTAAGTTCCAGTTTCTTCCTCGCACATAGCTGAAGAACTTGAACTAAAACATGAATCCCTTTTGTGAATCCAGTGCCTCGTTGGAAACGCAATCAACAACCAAATTTGCTTATTTGAATGAACACTAACTAATTTGAGTCTCCATAGAAGATTGGAAGCCAAGACCAGGTTGTTAAAATGACCATGAATAGGCCTATCATCCCACTAAAATGAACTAGTGCTTTTGAATCCACCTGCAAAGTAACTTGTCAATATTCCAAACCCAGTTTGTGTATCTGTGCTGTGGGGAGATGGTAACATCAAAGCCAGATTCAGGATTTTACTTCTGTAAAGGTAAATAAAAATATACGATAGGAAAATTATTTGTCTAGACCGGATTCATGACTCCATTTATGGACCAAACCATAAATTTATGGTAAAATATACTTTCGTTTCAATAAAAATCATTAATTTCATTAGTTTAATTTATAGGTAGGACCATAGATCCAGTCTAATTAAATTTTACCCATATAATTAGAGCAGTGAAAGCACTAAATTAATAAAAGAATAAAGATGCATACTAAAATTTTCATGTGGCATGAGAATAAGTGCCTCAAGTGCATTTATTGTATATTTGTCTATAACTAAATTAATATTTAATTTTGGATATTATTTAAATCAAATCTATAATTCAGCATGTGAATTAAATCAATGAAAATATAGATTTTTTTAAAAAAATTATTTCCTTTTTATAATTTTTTCCTAATGAATGAATAAAATTACTTTTATTTAAAAAAAATTTATTTCTACTGGTTTGATCTATGGATCACCATAAACCGGGTCTACGTAAATTTTTTTTAAAATTTTTGTATATCATATTCAATTTATTCGTTCAAATAAATTTAATTAAGATTAAATTACTTATTTTGAGATTAAACAACTTTATAAAATATGTATAACTTTATTATATTTTAATTATCTAATTTGGATTTAAAACTATGTTAATAAAAGATTTTACTATTACTTAATGGTAAAAATCCATAATAATAAATATCTAAAAAAAGGACTACGACCGCCATTTTTATTCAGACATTCTTACGTAACGTTTAGGTTATTTTGGGAAAGAAATGAGACCACCAACCAGAAGTTGACAAACGCAATGGATATATAATATAACTCCGCCCAGAAATGGGTCGAAAAACAAAAGTTTATAAAGTTTTGGGTAATTTATAAAAAATAAAAAACTTGATCGTTATAAATAGAGCAAAAGTCAAGTGTTTAAAGTGAAAAGGCATAAGAAAATATAGAATGACGGATTTACCTGTAAATCCTTTCCGCTACCTAAGCTAAAGGACCATCAATTTATAAGTCTTTAGGGTAATCGGTCCAAAATCAAAGCCTATTTTAGTCATATCAATAGAAAAAGTTGTCCATGATCAAGTGGCTTAGACTTGAAAATTTGACAAGATCTGAGGGCTTTTCTAGTAAATTCAATTAGCTAAGCCATTATGATATCTGCAATAGCAACTCAATCCACCAAAGCTACAGAAATAAAAATTCGTCTAAAATTTTTTTTTAAAAAGAAAAAAATCTAGAAATTCTCAGACAAATAAACGTTTTTTGGGTTTGCAGGTATCTTTATCCATCTTTCCTTTTCTAGTTTTTTTTTTTTTTATTTTTTTAATTTATGCAATTAAGAAACATTTTACTTTCTTTATTTTTTCATATGCCGAAGACTATAAGCTCGGCTTCTATTCCCACAAATAGATTCTTCTTCAGTTCTTCTTCCATCTCTCTCTCTAGCAGTGTGTCTTTATCTTGGTGTTTTTAGGTTCTATTAGTGAAGTTTGCTTTTTTACTTTGTAGCTGGAATTCTTGTAACGTGTTCATTTCTGGGTTGCAATTCTAGAGGTGAAAAAAGAGACATTATTATAAACTGTTTATGCAAGCTTCTAAGCTAACAACATGTCTCAAACCAACTGGGAAGCTGATAAAATGTAAGTTCTATTTGCATATTTATTCATTTCCTTTTTCTTAGTTGGGTTTCTTTTTTTTTTTTTCTCTCTCTTGTGCTGCTCACTCTTTTTATTTCTTCATCTTGATTTGTATCATTGGTAGTTGGGATTTTCCGGGTTTTGCCGCTTCTGTTAGGTTTTGGACTCAAGTTTTGTTCTTTCAAGTTGTTTCATCATATGTGCTATCACATTGTTATTCTAGGGTTTTATTTCTGTACAGTGTCTTTTTTCATTTTTGGTGGTCTGAACTTGTTTAAGAGTTGGTTTTAGTAGGTGGGTTGTTGGTTGTTTAGTTTTAGAATTTGAATTCATGCTACCTTTACTGCTGTTTACTTGTATTCTTCTTTGTTTGTGTGTCAGCTGAATTCTCTATTTCTATATATTTTTTTTCTCTTCTACTTCATTGCTTTTATTTCTTTCTTCCTTTCTTTGTTGTTCTTGTTTTTATTTTTAAGGACTATAGTATTTAGATTTGGAATTTCTCCATTTACATTGCATGAATTTCTTGACAAGAGTCTGTAGTATCTGAAGAATATAGTTTTTGGATTTTTTTTTGCGTTTCTGGTTCTGATTTGTGCTATTATGCTTGGTAAAGTCTATTTCTTTGTGGCTTTTCTCGCCCTTATTTATGAAATGAAGAGTTTTATTTTTGTAACAAACAACAGGTTAGATGTGTATATCCATGATTATCTAGTAAAGAGAGATTTGAAGGCTTCTGCTCAGGCTTTTCAAGCTGAGGGAAAAGTGTCATCTGATCCTGTAGGTGGGTAAATGAAGTTATGCTTCAGGGGAAGAATATGAATTCAGATTATAAATTCATGTTATTGTTTTTGGAAATTGTGTCTGGATTCTTGATTGATTTTGAATTTTGACCCTGAATTTCTAGCTATTGATGCTCCTGGAGGCTTTCTCTTTGAATGGTGGTCAGTTTTCTGGGATATATTTATTGCTAGGACTAATGAGAAGCATTCAGAGGTTGCTGCATCTTATATTGAGGTTTGAGGACTTTTCTTATGTTATGTATCCTATTTATTTACCTTTAGTCTTTATTTGTACATGGTATGAGTGCTAGCGTAGGCAAAGAGGTGCTTTTTATTTGATGCTGTTTATTGACAAAAATCTCATTTCAAGCATCCTGTTGTTGTGTCCAAACTTCTTCTTTTCCATACCCCTCCCCATAAAAGGGGAAGAAAAATAGAAGAAATAAAGCAGAAAGAAAATTTTCCGGTCTTCTGCATATAGTTGACCTTTTCATGTCAGTATCCCATTGATAACTTTGTCTATTTTTTAGGTGAAAGTTGAGTTATTTCTTTAATCCCATTGATAACTTTTGTATATGAAATTGAGATTGATATGTGCAATATTGTAATGGAAGAATTCTTGCTTCTTGGTTTCTACCTTTTTTCCTAATTCTTCATTTACTATCCTTTTTTGTTGAAGCCACTTAAAATTATGTCTTTTATGAGTTCTAGAAATTTTATGTCTTGGTTCTGGTTCACTTCTATTTGTCCATCAGCAGGATTTTAAATGTAACCCATGTAAATCCTCCAGTGATGGTAAAACTGAATAAGTGAAGAACATAATTAAATTCATCAGATACTGTTTCTGAAGCTCTAGTAGTCTTGTTCTTCCTCCTTACAGCTAACTCCAGCTCCTCGTATTAACATAGTAATTCCTGGTAAATTGATAGATAAATTGGTTATTAAGAAGGTATTGAAGAAAAACAAGTCATGCCACTTCCTTGGCATTGTTCAATTTGTCCCTTGCAAGAGGTATTAGTAAACCTTCCATTTTATTAAATAAACTCTTAGAAAACCCTTTTAATTTTTATTTGTTGCATTTTAGGTCAGTTCTTGTAAAGTTGGACCTAGTTTTTGATGTGGTTGACTACAATCCTTAAAAGGAAACTCTTTTTTCGCTATTCCTATCTTTTAAGTACTCCCTTTGTCCACAAATATAAGTCGTTTTAGAGTAGTTCTTTTATCCATAAGTATATGTTGTTTTGAGAATATCTAGGACCATGAATATACTTTGATTCTCTATCAAACAAATAACATGGGACCATTAACATTGTTAAAGCTAAACTGTTGAAGTCTAGATGCAGCATGTAATTAATAAAGTTTTTTCAATTCTACCCTTATTTATATCAATACAATTGGTAATTTAGTCAAATTGATAAATATTCTGTTATAATTTGGGAGAACTAATTGCTTCCTTAATCATCGTGCAACAATTTTAAACGATTTATATTCGTGGACAGAGGGAATAAAATGTATGTATATGTGCAAACAAGTGCATGGACCTGCATTCTGGCTGGATACCTGCCCTGTCCTCTGCATACTTGGTTGCCCCACTCTTGCCCTAACAAAAATGTAAAAAAGAGAAGTGCATGGTTTTCTGCAGAAGTTCCTTTCCTGTCAATTCAAGTCTGATCTGACCAAATATGCTCCAGAGTATTTTTCAGTCTGTTACCAGTTGCATATTTTTTGTCCTTAAATTCTTTAGTGGGATTAAATTTACAGAGGCCTAAGCAAGCCCTTTTTCTTTCCAGATGCAGTAAACCTTCATAGGAAACACAAATAGGATTCTTTTCTGAGAGGTTGCTTTATGATATGTTGGTACCTTTATATCCTGCATTAATAGTCCCCGTGGTTTGATGTGGTCAAAATGGCAACATCATATTAGTTGAGGGATTTTTTAGGAGGATAAACAGTATACTGGCTCAAGAGAACTGTGCTAGCATCTTTTACCCAACTGGCCCAACTCTTGCTGTTTGGGGGTTTTTGTTTATGGTTCTAGATATTTTTTGATGTTGAAACTCTGGAATCCGTGACCTTTTCATTTACATGCAAGTGTTTATATAAAAATCCCTGGATTTATAATAACTTCAAATTCCATTCTTAACATTATGGCTTATCGGAATTTCAGACTCAGTTGATTAAAGTACGGGAACAGCAGCAGCAACAACAGCAGCAGCAAGCTCAACCGCCACAGCATCAACAACAGCAACAGCAGCAACAACAGCAACTGCAGATGCAACAGCTTCTATTGCAGAGGCATGCTCAGCAACAGCAGCAGCAGCAGCAGCAGCAGCAGCAGCAACAGCAACAGCAACAACAGCAACAGCAACAGCAGCAGCAGCAGCAGCAGCAACAACAACAACAGCAGCAGCAACAACAGCCTCCCCAGCAACAGCAACAGCAGCGAAGGGATGGTGCACACCTCTTAAATGGTAATACAAATGGGCTTGTGGGAAATGATCCTCTTTTGCGCCAAAATCCTGGAACTGCCAATGCTTTGGCAACAAAGATGTATGAGGAAAGATTAAAACTGCCTATTCAGAGGGATTCTTTGGATGATGCAGCAATGAAGGTAACTGGATTGCCCTTTTTGTTTTAAACCATTTTGTGTGGCTTCTTTCCATATCTTGAATTTTGGTGGATTTCTTGGCTTAACTGTCTTCCAAATTGTTTACAGCAAAGATTTGGTGAGAATGTAGGCCAGCTTTTGGATCCCAATCATGCCTCAATATTGAAGTCTGCGGCAACTGGCCAGCCTTCAGGGTGCTTTTCTTGTTTATTATACCTTTAATGCTCAGATGAAACGGGACTGTATGCAGCATTTGAATGTCTTTTCTGTTTATGTTGTCTAAAAAGTTCTACGTTTTGCAAAAATACAAAAATAGCATCCAAACTAAACATTGGTGACTCCAACCTGTTTTCCTTTTCTCTGTTCCATCGCCATCAATGTAATGAATGCATGTGAATGTGGATTTACAGTAAACAAGGCTAGGAAAAACAAGTTAGACTATTATTAAATTCAAATGTCTGAATAAGCACAGAACCAATTTTGGGCCTTCCTTAAATGTCTTGTGCCTAATACTATTGTTGAGATAAAGCGTATTGTTGTTATAACAAATTTCAGGCAAGTGTTGCATGGCACAGCAGGTGGAATGTCCCCACAGGTTCAGGCCCGAAATCAACAAATTCCAGGGTCTACACTGGTATGTATCTCAAGCAAGTGATCTCATAGCTATGAATTTTCATATTATTCATTTTGTTCTAAATTTTATCTGGAATCAGGACATAAAGAGTGAGATCAATCCAGTGCTAAATCCCAGAGCTGCTGGTCCAGAGGCATCATTAATAGGTATTCCTGGTACTTCCTGCTTATGAATTTAATTTCCAAGAACCTTTAACTAAGGTGAGTTTTGGGGAAACAATTATTTCAATTATGGCCACCTGAATCTAGCATCCTTACCTTTCAATTTGAGTGCCTAAAGTTATAAATTTCTTATCATGGTTATTGCACTGTACATGCCTTTGAGATTTCTGTCAACAACATGTATGGTTTTGTTGTTTCAGGATCAAATCAAGGCTGTAGCAATTTGACTTTAAAAGGGTGGCCACTCACTGTAAGTCTTCTGTGGTTCAATTATTCCTCTGTTTCTGCCCTAATCATAAGAACTGAAGTATATAGTTTTTGGATAAATCGTCAAATAAAATGACATCTTTTTTGTTTGGTTTTTTTGTGCATTTATATATTTACAAACCCTCCAAAAGTGTTTCTAAATAAGTATTTCAAAATTTTTTTTCTGACATATACTTTGCTTTTATGATATTAATTTGATCATAGCGGATGTTGGAAATAAAGGATTCATATAGCTGCCCCAACTAGTTTGGGAATAAGGCTCAGTTGTTGTATATATTTACAAAGTTAATGCTTTGAAGTGCTTACCTTTTTTGGTACCTTTGTCAGGGACTGGATCAGCTTCGCTCTGGGTTTCTTCAACAACAAAAACCTTTCATACAGGCTCCTCAGCCCTTTCATCAACTTCAGATGTTGACACCTCAACACCAGCAACAGCTTATGCTCGCACAGCAAAATTTAACATCACCATCTGGTAGTGATGACGCTAGAAGATTGAGAATGATTTGGAATAACCGGAATATGGGGCTCGGGAAGGATGGGCTTACAAATCCTGTTGGTGATATGGTTCCAAATGTTGGGTCTCCTTTACAAGCTGGTGGCTCTCTCTTGCCTCGTGGAGATACAGATATGCTGATGAAGGTCCCATGGTTTTACCAATTACTTTTCATCTTTCTTTGCTAGTATGTCTTTGAACCTGCACTACTTCCATTGCCTTTCCCTTTCTAAAAATATTCCTTCTTTTGTAGTTAAAATTGGCTCAAATACAGCAGCAGCAGCAGCAGCAGCAACAGCAACAGCAACAGCAACAGAACAGTAATCCACAGCAGCAACAGCAGCTTCAGCAACATGCACTTTCCAATCAGCAGTCACAGAGTTCAAACCACAACCTTCATCAACAAGATAAGATGGGAGGTGCTGGTAGTGTCACAGTAGATGGAAGCATGTCCAACTCATTTCGAGGAAATGATCAGGTCTGTCTTTTTAAGTTACCTCCTATAATATAGTAATCATAGAAACTTGTTGCTCTAGAGACTAATGTATATATAAAGGATCAAATATATGTAAGAACATTTCTGTGCACTTAAGGGCAATACATGTTCTAAAAAATTTCTACTTAAAAGTTGGGCTCCTTGAAATTTATTTTTGAAGAATTTAGGCAATCTATTCATAATTGGCCATTCCATAATTTTTTGGAAAGCTTGTTGAGTCGTGATGTCTATCAGATAGCCAATCTGGACAGGTTTCTAACATGGTTTTCCTTGTGCCATTTTAAGGTTTCAAAAAACCAGACAGGGAGAAAGAGAAAACAGCCAGTATCATCTTCAGGTCCTGCCAATAGCTCTGGCACGGCAAATACTGCAGGACCCTCCCCAAGTTCAGCTCCGTCAACACCTTCAACTCACACCCCTGGAGATGTGATCTCGATGCCATCTTTGCCACATAGTGGTAGTTCTTCTAAGCCTCTAGTGATGTTCGGAGCTGATGGCACAGGAACTCTTACATCTCCAGCGAATCAGTTGGTGAGTGCATGTCTAATCTTTTTATATTGGTAAAGGAATTGAAAATTCCTTGCTTAAATTCTCATTGGAATTCCATTTTGGCAGTGGGATGATAAGGATCTTGAATTGCAGGCTGATATGGATCGCTTCGTGGAGGATGGATCTCTTGAGGATAATGTTGATTCTTTTTTATCCCATGATGACACTGATCCTAGGGATACGGTTCCTCGTATGGATGTCAGCAAAGGTGTGCAACTACTCATTGAATATTGATCATGATTTTTTAAAAAGATTTTTCAGTACTTTGCTGAGTTCATATTGGTGTTTATTTGAATATGATGCAATAATAAGCAAATTGTTTGGAGATATTTCAATATCTCTGGTTATTTTCCTTCATACTTCCTGTTGTTTTTCTTGGGGCTGATTTGTAGGTACAGTTTCAAAAAAACATTAATAATGAGTGTGAATTTAATTTATAGTATCTATGTGTAACTAAACTGAATTTCCTCTCTGTATACATGATTGGTGAGCATAGAGTTTACGTTTCATCTCAGGGTTTACATTTACTGAAGTAAATTCTGTTAGAGCGAGTGGAAGCAAAGTAATCTGTTGCCACTTCTCATCGGATGGAAAATTGCTTGCTAGTGGTGGCCATGATAAAAAGGCAAGTGTGAAGACAAACTTTGTAAGATGTAAAGCACTAAAACACGAGGCAAAGAACTAGATGGCAATTTCTTATGAACAATTAATTTTCTGAAATTAAGTTCTAAAAGTAAAATAATTATATTTCTGAAAGATTTATTTCAAAGTCTGATTTAATTGACCAAACAAGTGTAATCTTTGCCTGCTTTACATTGTTTATAGAAGGAAAAAAAAAAAAGTCATGGCAATAGTTTGCTCGATCTATACTTCTGGAAATTGAACGTGAACGTTTTGCTTCATGTTCTATGGTACAGGCTGTATTATGGTACACAGAAAATTTAAAGCCCAAGACCACCCTTGAAGAACATTCTTCATTGATTACAGATGTCCGTTTTAGTCCAGGCATGCCACGCCTCGCTACATCTTCATTTGATAAAACTGTCAGGGTTTGGGATGCTGACAATGTTAGTAGATATCTTTCATCTTTTCCCTGATCAACTTTTTTTGTTGCAATTCTTGCCTTTTCTCCCCTTCTCTTGATGGGAAAATTGTAACTTGTATGATAGCATATATAAGCAAAAGGAACTTGTACATGCATATGTAAATATACATTTAAGGAAATTTCATGAAGATATGATGTCAAATTGGTGTTTCGTTCAAAGGATTGTTAGATGAACTGGTTTGTACATATATATTTTGTCCTTTTTGCCCCCTTCTGCTTATGATGGTGGTAGAATATACTGGGTTAGTGTTATATTGCGGATTAGTCTATAGGAAAATAATTTATGTTGGTTGTCATTGTTAGTATGTTGATTTTTAACATGTGATAATAAATATGTCAACTGGTTTTTTTGGGCTGTGGACATAAGAGGCTAGATGTTTCATCAATTGAAGGTGGAATTTGTGAACGTGAAAGCCTGCACCTTTTTAACTGTTGAAGCTAGATTAGAACCCTATAGCAAATTTTCGGTGATTGAATTGAGCATAAAGTTATTGGGTTCATTTGGGTGATTAAGAACATGCATAATAGCACGAATACAATTATGAGAACTGAATATTGAGTTGCTGTAGTTTTACACAGAGAGCATTCAGTTCTTAGGTTTATGCACCGGTTATGGTTATGTAGTGATATCATGCTCTCTGCTATTGACCGTTAAATTTTCTTGTTAACAAAATTTGCTGGAAACATGTTTTTCAATTTTTACATTGTTTCTGACTGTATAGTTTGTCACGATCCATAGTCTTGTCTCAGATTCAATAGTTATGCATGTTCCCATATTTTAATGGCTGGAAGTGTATCTAATGTATCCATACTTTGCTTATTCATTTCCCTGTTAAATAATCTTTGTATAGTTTTCAAGTGAGTTTTTGCATGATTTTGGTGTTCATTCTCAAAATTCTGTGGTATGTTTTGCAGCCTAGTTACTCGTTACGCACTTTTACGGGACATTCAGCCTCTGTCATGTCACTAGACTTCCACCCTAGTAAGGATGATCTTATATGCTCTTGTGATGGGGATGGTGAAATACGTTACTGGAGTATTAACAATGGTAGTTGTTCAAGAGTATTCAAGGTAGATTCTTATTGTTGGTTAGAGTTATTACTAATTCCTATTTAGTGAAATTCCCTATCAGCAATTGCTTCCCCTATTAGGATTACATAATTATTCCTCTTCTACGTTTATACTATATACTTGCTATTATAAAGATTGAAAGTGTGAAACAACAAAAAGAATTTTCTCTCTAAATTCTAATACACAACATGATATCAGAGCCACGTTATTTTAGAAAGAGAAAGAAAGATTCCATTTCCCTTCTGGTTTTTTTAAGAGCAGTGAACCCACCGTTGAAGGTTGGAGATTCCTTACAAAGAGTTAACTGTCACTGCTCCCCCCAGAGCTTAGGCCAGCACATCTAGAAGCTATTTTTCTCATTTTAAGATATGTGAAATCCGCACCCAGAAAAGGACTTCTCTGCTCGAAGCATGGTCATCTGAAGATAGAAGTTTTTACACATGCAGATTGGGTTGGATCTCTTGATGATAGAAGGTCCACATCTGGTTATTGCACATTTGTGGGTGGAAATTTAGTTACTTGGAGAAGTACAAAAACAGAATGTGGTAGCAAGATCAAGTATAAGATCAAGATCAAGCAGAGTATAAAGCTATGGCACAAGGCTTTTGCTAGTTACTATGGCTCTAGAAAGTTATAAAAAAATGGAAGTTATCAAAAATTGAAGATCTACCATTGTTCTATGATAACAAGGCTGCTAGTAGTATTGTTTATAATCCAGTTCAACATGATCGAACAAAACATATTGAGATTGACCGTCGTTTTACAAAAGAGAAGATAATACATGGTATTTTGAAGATAATACATGGTCTATGAAGGACAAATAGCTGATGTGTTTACCAAGGTTCTTAATGGCAAATTGTTTCATAATTTGGTCTGCAAGTTGGGCATGTGTAATATTTGTTGCACCAACTTGAGGGGGAGAGTTGGTTAAAGTTATTACTTCCTATTTTGAAATTTCGTATTAGTAATTGCTTTCTATATGAGTATATTAGATTAAATAATTATTCCTATTCTGGTTTTATACTTTTATATATATATATTTATATATGCTTGCTATTATAACGATTGAAAGAGTGAAATAACAATAAGAATTTTCTCTCTAAATTCCAAGACACACCAGTTAAAGACTTATCTGGTGTAGTAGTAAACAAGATATTAATGAAGGTCCGAGATAACTCTCTCTCTCTCTCTCTCTCTCTCTCTCTCTCTCTCTCATTCTCTCTCTCGTGCTCCCTCTTCTCCTCTCCCTCTCTCTCTTCTCTCTCTCTGTGTGTGTGTGTGGTGTGGGAATGGAATGGATACAGTGAGATTGGACTGGATGCCATTTTTGAATTCAATTAATTAAATTCTCTCTCTCTCTCTGTGTGTGTGTGTGTGTGGAAGGAATGGATACAGGTGAGTTGGACTGGATGCATTTTTGAATTAATTAATTAATTTTATTATTTTTTCATATGGATTAGGGTGGTACGGCTCAAATGAGATTTCAGCCCCGTATGGGGAGGTATCTTGCTGCAGCTGCTGAGAATGTTGTATCTATACTGGATGTTGAGACACAAGTTTGTCGGCATTCATTACAGGTCAGTTAAAACTTGATGCATAGACAGCATTTTATGAATGCTATGCTAGTCCTCAAAACTTGATAAGGTTGTAAATTACCATAAGAAGATTTTGCTCATGGTTGTATCATATTTCCATTCTTCGTCATTCTTTCCTCTCTCTGTCATTGCTTAACTGCCTTTGGATGCATATGGCCAACTGCAGGGACATACTAAGCCAATACACTCTGTGTGCTGGGATCCTTCTGGTGAGTATCTAGCATCTGTCAGTGAGGATTCTGTCAGAGTGTGGAGACTTGGATCAGGGAGTGAGGGGGAATGTGTTCATGACTTGAGCTGTAATGGCAACAAATTCCATTCCTGTGTTTTCCATCCTACATACCCATCATTACTAGTGATTGGCTGTTACCAGGCAAGTAACTTTGGTTTCCATGCTTTTTGTATACATTGATGTGCTAAATTATTTTATTTGGGGCCCCTTTTGGTGGGTAATATGAATGTCTGTGATGCAAACCTTTTCCAAGGTCAGATACAGTAATTGATAGCTTGCCATACTGTTTATGAGAAGTATAATGAAGCCATAAACCTGCTTTTGCTTTTGTATCTGTCTAGGGGCATTTTCCTGCAATTGATTATGGTTCACATTGGGGCTCACATGTATCTTAAAAACTATGAACACGCTTCCTTTATTTTCAATTGGGAGAATTCTTGCGAGTCTTGACAAAGTTTCTGATCAATGATATGTCAAATTTTTATGCAGCAGCACTTCTTTTTTCCCTATTTCAAATTAAGGGTGAAATATTGTTTAACTGTCTAACTTTTAGTCAGTTTCATTTACTGTCTTGTGGGGTTTCTCTCCCTTGCTCTACAGTTTAAATTTGTACTTTTTAAACTACTGGCATCAATGAAATATTTGCTATTTGTGTTGCTGTTAAGGGATTGTCTCTAATTTCCAACTGTGGACATTTATTGCAGTCTTTGGAGCTTTGGAATATGACTGAGAACAAGACTATGACTCTGTCGGCTCATGAAGGATTAATTGCTGCCTTGGCTGTATCGCCTGTGACAGGGTTGGTTGCCTCTGCTAGCCATGATAAATTTGTCAAGCTGTGGAAGTAATATTTTCGATCATTGTTATTTAAATGCTTTTAGTTTGTCTATTTTGTTCACTTGATCTTCTGGCCTATTTTGTGTTTTTATTCAATCTCAGGTCCTTATAACCCCAGAAACTAACCTTTTCTTCTGTTGTTGTTGTCGTTTGTATTACCTTTGACATGATACTACTGTTAACTTAGAGATCACTGTTCAAGCTTCTTGGACAGTTCGTAATGCCTCTTGTATTCTATTGAGAAGTATATACTTTTCATCCATAGCTTACCTGTTTTACCATCTTTAATTTCTGTTTTGACCATCATCTTAGGGAATACTTTCCCTCAGTTCATTTGGCTGCCTTGCAAATTGTCTCATTTTCTGATTACTTTGTACTCTGGTTTCAACTAATGTTTATTCTCTTAAAATTGTAATATCTCCTTCAATTTTGTGTTTTATTGTTGAAAAAACAGACAAATCCATTGATTAGCAAGAGTGAATTTAACATTGAAATTGATTTTGTTTAAGCACTATTTTAGATGTTGGAAAAAGCTGGTTTGAAATTCTTTATTTGTCTTGAAGCTTTTATGATTATTGTACCTTAAAAACAAACTTCTTGATGTTTTTTTATGTAATGCTTCTTTCACGATAATTTGAACGACATATCTTGAAACATCATTGAGAGCATGTTGTACATATTATCCGAGAGGGGCAGGTTGGCCCATGATTCCACAAAGGCAGAATATATAAATTTACCGCTTGAATTTTGTTATTTTAATTTCGTGACACTCAATTTTTATTTTGACCTATTGAATATATCTACGTATAAAATTATATCTACTACACTTCAATTTTGAAAATTATTTTATTGAACACCTTAACTGCAAAATTCAATCAATTAAACACATTAAAAAGTTTGAAATTTCAACTTGCAAAATTAGATTAATTAACACATTAAAAAGTTAAAATTCATAAAAATCATTATTCTAAATGTATTTCGCTAACTAGATATTGAGTCGATATTTTACCAATAGAAATCAAAAATTCTAAAATTAATTGATATTAGTACTGAAATGTGTGTAATATTATTAAAATTTACAAGTTTAAGTATATGATAAATGATTTACAAAATTTAAGATGTCATAAAATTAAAATTACAAAGTTTAAAGCTGAATTTATGTATTTAGCCTTTCCACAGATGATTACTTAATTGTTCCCAACGAATGCAAACATCTGCGTTGCTGATTCTATAGCCATTCCCCCCTTTGAATATGAGAATATTATGAAGTCCATATAATCAAATTCCTTCAAAAGCTGGGGATGATTTCCATCATCTAATTCCTTAGGTGGCTTGATGATAGTCCCTTCTACAGGAACTGCAAATGCTCCAAAAGAATACCTGTCTTTGTCACCCTTCATCATCACCCTAAGTTTCACTGCATGCAATTTTCCATCACTCCATGCCTGCAAATCAATGTTCATAACGCAACTTCAATGCTTAGTTCTTTGAGGAATTTCTTCAAATGGTTTGAAAGCAGATATAAACTCAATCCTAAACAGAACCTAAGAAGAAATCAATGAACCAAGGAAATTACCATAAGAGGATCTCCAACAATAAAGAAAAAGAAATTGGTGGTGGATGGAGAGAGTTGAATCCAATGGCCATCTTTGGTTTCAATTTCAAGCCCTGAAACTTGATCCTCAAACAAAAGAGTACACATTGGTTTTTCTGTATGGGCTTTGAGTCCATCCATATATTCCCCACTTGGAGGAGCTTTGTATTTCATCATCCTTAACAAAGTCTTTGTTTCCATTATCAACCCTAATTTTTCTTTCAATCCATAGCTATCAATAATCATCTTTTGTATTATCTTGCATAGCTCTTCCACTGGCTTCAACGTGGAGCTAATTGTTTGGCTACAATAGTTTATTCATTTTTCATGAAATTAGTACTAAGCAAGGTTATTCACTTGAATTATAGTTCATAATTTCATATTTCATTCTTTGTCCTAAAGGTCACTTTTGTTTTTTATGGTAGCATCAAGAAGTTTAGTCCATCTCGATTGCAAAGCATAAAAGTTTTTGGCGTTCCAGTAAATTACGCTTTCCGAGAATTAAACTTTTGTTCTCACCAAATTGAGGTCACTTGTTTTTTTTTTTTTTTTTTTTTCACTGGCTTCAACGTGGAGCTACTAATAATTGTTTGGCTACAATAGTTTATTCCATTTTTCATGAACATTAGTTACTAAGCAAGGTTTATTCACTTGAATTATAGTTCAATTACAATTTCATAAAAAAATTTCATTCTTTGTCCTTAAAGGTATACTTTGTTTTTTATGGTAGGCATCAAGAAGTTTGTTCCATCTCGATTGCAAAAGCATAAAAGTTTTGGCGTTTCCAGTAAATACGCTTTCCGAGAATTAAAACGTAACTTTTGTTCTCACCAAATTGAGGTCACTTGTTTTTTTTTTTTTTTTTTTTTTTTTTTTTAATGTTATTCTTTTTTTTTTTTTTTTTTTTTTTTTTAATGTAATTCCCTCCAAAAGCAGATGATAAGAAAATCATTTCATTCCTTGTTATTTGCAACAATAAGCTTTTCCTTCAACCTGAATGACAGAAAACAATCTTTCCAATCATCTTGGAAAAAAATAAGCTTATTTACTGAAAGTATATGGACAGCGGCTTTCTTTTCAATAAAAAAAATGGTATCAATGATCAATGGGTTTTTTAAATAACAACCAATTGATTTAGCTAGTTGTATTATAAAGATATCAACTAGGAAACTCCGATAAGGTCAAGATTAATCCTCCTTACTTGAACTGGTGATGGCCATGAGGCCAAAGTAATTCTGTAAAGCTTCTGAGGGAGTCATAGTTGGTGACATCTTCAATGCCTAAGCTCTCATACAAAGGAATTACTGGGTACCCCCCTGCATACCCATGATAAGGCTTTGGGTTAAAATTTTTCTTCTTTGTCTCTGATGGAAGACTAAAAACTTGCCTGACCATTTCGAAGGTCTCATCTCTTAGTTGCAGGGATATTTGATCGTAAACCACCTCAAAGCACCCAAATGTTTCACAAGCTTCCCTAACCCTTTTGCATAAATTGTGCCACTCTTGTTCTCCACGCACACAATGTAGTGAAGTTCTTGAAAGATTGATGATAGGAACCTGATTTTGAGATGCCATAGCCATTTCTGTCAACTTTTCAGGACTGTTAATAGCAGGTACTTTCAACTATTTATAGCCGGAAATAAAAGGTAGAATGGGCCAAAAAAAATTTTCAAAACTAAAGAGACGCAAAATTCATAAAATCACTATTTTGTAAATAAAATTGAAAATTATTAACATTTTATTTTAGGAGTAAATTTTAAAAATAAAATTTGGATTAGCGGCAGGGATTTACCCTTGGCACCCCTCCCTCCGTCATTATATATACATTAATATACATATCTACGGTTGCATGACTACCTTTCTTGCTTTCAATTATGGTATCAGAGCTGGCCAGATGGCCTAAATAAACCAATCTCATCATTTACCTTTACCCTTCTCTGAACCCTAAAACCAAGATCAAAATTCAGCATCCATCCATTATGTCTGACGAAGAGACCTCAGTTATTATGGATGATGAACTCACCCTTAAAATAGCCAATTTACTAAAGAATGGACTCGGCTCAAACTAGAAACAGAACCTTCCAGATCAATTGACCATCAGTACCAAGCTTAACACCCAAAATTATGCACTTTGGTCTAGGATGATCAGAGTTGCCATTGGAGGCAATTCTAAGAGACTTCTGGGCCATGTCACTGGAGGAACTGAACCTCCTCAGACCACAGATCCGAATTTCGAAAGGTGGGAACAATACGACCTTGCGGTCTTCTCTTGGCTAATTCAGAATATAGAACCACAAATTGCAAGCAATCTTACCGAATATCCGACGGCAAAAGCCTTATGGAATGCCCTTGCCATCAGGCAAGCAATCTTACCGATATTCTCCGACGGCAAAAGCTATGGGAATGCCCTTGCCATCACTTATTGCAGCTGGCCGTGAATATAACTTCAAGTTTTTTTGATCTTCGTGTCAAAAGCCAACGGACTGAAACCAGGGTACAAAAGACTTGAAGATTTCTGGCTCATCATGCGGGGTATGGGGAGAAATAGATCGGAGGAAACCCAACCCAATGACGCTGCACAGTCTGCACGTCTGATATTGCAAAGTTTAATCAACTCAGACAAGAACAAAAAGTGTTTCAATTTCTAAATGCACTGGATTACAGATATGATCAGATTAAGAGAGAAATACTAAGAACCGATCCCCTTCCAGGTGTATGCCACAGTAAGAAAGGAATCGGCAACAACAAAAATCATCGGGAGCTCTGTCACAGGGGGAGACCAAGGCTCGCAAGGAATCGGAGAAGGACTCATAACTGAAGTGGCCGGCCTTCTCACCCGCGGACAGCAACAACGCCGATCAGAGAAAAACTCATCCTTCCGGCCAGACAAATCAAAACTTCGTTGTTCTCACTGTGGTCAGGCCAAGCATACGGAAGAACAATGCTTTGAACTGGTGGGATATCCTGAATGGTGGACTGAAAAACACAGAAACAAGGGGACTTCAATGGGAAAATCTACCACCGCCGTGGGCAACGCTGACAGCGCTACGCAACAGCGACGGCAAACAGGTTCGAGGAACAGGAATAGAGGGGAGAGCTATGGTGGCAACGACTAGGCTTTCTCCTAATATGGAAACCGATGGTTTTATAGGTAAAGGACTTGAGTTATTACACTCAAGTCCTCAAACTCTCCCTGGTTACTTATTTAATCTGTCTGATATTGGTGAATACGGAAATAGTACCTGGAATATTGTTGATACTGAAATTGGTCCAGATTTACATGTGAATGATAATTGTTGTCCTCAGAATTACACTAAGGTTCCCATAGTTTCTGATAATTTTAGTTTAACCCCTGAACATGAGAAAATACAAGATGAACAAAATGAATGGGTATTTGATACTGGTGCTACTGATACTATGACAAATGATGCAAAAGACATTATTGAGCCTTCAGAACCTCAAAAAACTCATGTTAAGACGGCTAATGGGGAACTTACACCGGTAGAAGGAGCTGGGTCAATTGAAATTTCTCCTAAGTTAAAATTGTCTAATTGTCTTTATATGCCGTCTTTGTCTCACAAGCTTCTATCAATTAGTCATGTTACCAAAGAATTGAATTGCATTGTCCTAATGACTCCAACTTTTTGTTTATTACAGGATATTCGGACGGGGAGATAATTGGACGTGGCACTGA